CTCTTCAATTTAGAGGGCCAGACTTTGTCTTCGAGTCATTTGTTCTTGAATCAGCATAATTATCTTCAATCTAGCCGTTGAAAATCAAGAGATTGATTTTTCCTTACCAACGGGTAGAATTTCTTCATTCAGGACTTAGATAATTTTTCTAAGTCTTTTCTCACTTGTCCGCTTTCTGAGAATTCCGGTCTTCAGTGAGTCTTCCGATTCTTAGCTGAAAAATCCGGATGAGTCATTTTCAGACTTCCGGGTGAGAAAGAGATCCGCGCTAGTCTTCCGATTTGGATGACTTAGACTTCAGCGGGTTGTAGCGAGACATCCAGTTCTTATGTAGTCTTCCGGATCAGAGGATTTTCGTTTGCTTGAGAAATCCTTACTTGTCTCTGACATTTCCGAACAAGATATCCGATTTCCATATCACTGAATTTGATTAAGTCTTCAGGCATCAAAACGCTTAAAGAAATATCACAGCTTTTATTGGAAATCTCAAGAGCTCGGTTTTGACAATATTTCTATAAAGAAAAATTACATTGAATATTGGGGGAGACCTAAAGTCCCTAATACATTCTAAATACATCATCATCAAAATCTATAATATTTTTCCCAACAATTTCCCCCTTTTTTATGATGACAGACAAGTGTTTAAGAGTTCCGGTCGCTCAACTGAGAACTAATTTTATAACTTTCTTTTAGTTTCTCATAATATACAGCTTGTTAACAAAAACTCTTAAACAGATAAAATTCAAATTACAATAATTCCTAAACCAAGTCTTGTCTTGAGATTTTGTGATATCTTCCGCCATTGACCGTTTTCAGCTCCAGCAGATTCTGCTTGGCAGAGCGGTTGGCGTTGCGTTTGATAGATCTTTATTATCCAAAGTGGATAACCAAGATCTAGGAAGCAACACATCTCTCAAAAAAAAATGAAATAAGAAAACAAAAGAGAGATAAAATGACAAGAAAGGAAAAAGGTTTTGGAAAAGAGAATTGATTGTGAAAAAGATAAAATAAAGTTTTTAAAGATAAAAAAAATTTTAAAAGAAATTTTGAGAAAGAGTTCTAGAAAAAAAATTTTGAGAACTCCTTGAGAGAAGGGAGCAGAGGTACCACCCAAAAAAAACTTGTAAGAAAATTGGGGGACTGCTAAAAAAAGATTTAGAAAAAGTAAAGAAAGGAAAGGGGAGGGGAAAGAGATCAGGGTAAAAAAAAAATAGAGAGAGTGTTGTTCCAGAGAAAGTGTATGGTATAATCCTGAAAAATACGAGAATTACACCATAAACTTTCTCTACTGCCGAGAATTGCACCATAAACTTTGAATTACTTTCCTTTCTCACTAGGCTTTTCTCCATTGCCGTCTATGAGGGTGAGAAAGAGAAATTTCTCCATTGAGGATATTTTCTTGGTGTTTTTCTCAGACAGTGAACTTGAAGACTTTCATATTTTGAGAGTTGTTTGTGATGGAAATGGATTGGCATATCTTGATTTAAATAGGGGAGGAGGAGGTTCACGGGTTCCATTAAGTGGGTAGTTGGAACGGTGAGAGTAAAGGAGTTTCAACTTCCAAGAAGTTGAAAAGTAAAAGGAATCTTTTACCAGTTACCAATGGA